AATAGAAAAAGCCTTAAAATCCCTTTAGATTTAAGCAAGACTTATGACACAGTTAATCAATCACAGCACCCTAAATAAAAATTACATTCAATCAGAATTAAGAGGAATGTATTAATCATACTTTGCAGACAGAACCCAAATAGTAACAATCATCACCTAAATAACGATACAGTTTGTATCAGTTAGATTACACAGAATTGTTCTGGGTCCTATATAAATTCTAATGCTGCTGAACCTCCATTATCCAGGGTGACAACAGAAGAGAGGTCAACAGAAAAAAAAAAAAGTATTGTTTCAAATGAATTAATTAACCGGTTACTAAGAAGAATGTGCAAAAAAAATATACACCTAAATTATAATTTACAATGTATAACAACTCACATCAAGTTACAGCATATTACAATTTTCTTTACAGAAAAAAATTTGGCAAAAGTGGGCAACAAAATGGAGGTTAGAGGCAAGCTGTGGAGACTTTTGCAAGCCTGCAAAGGATTCAGGAAGGGTGATGACAGATACATACACAAGAACTACTGAATTGTGGAAGAAGAAGAAGAAGAGGAGGAAGGAGGAGAAGGAAGAAGAAGAGGAGGAAGGAGGAGAAGGAAGAAGAAGAGGAGGAGGAAGGAGAAGGAAGAAGAAGAGGAGGAGGAAGGAGAAGGAAGAAGAAGAGGAGGAGGAGGGAGAAGGAAGAAGAAAAAAGAAGAAGAAGGAGAAGGAGGAGAAGGAAGGAGAAGGAGGAGAAGGAAGGAAAAGGAGGAGAAGGAAGGAAAAGGAGGAGAAGGAAGGAAAAGGAGGAGAAGGAAAAGGAGGAGAAGGAAAAGGAGGAGAAGGAAAAGAAGGAGAAGGAAAAGAAGGAGAAGGAAAAGGAGGAGAAGGAAAAGGAGGAGAAGGAAAAGGAGGAGAAGGAAAAGGAGGAGGAGGAGGAGAAGGAGGAGAAGGAGAAGTCCATTTATGGCAATGCTGACGTCACTTTCATAATTTATGCAAGTAAATCATGGAGTGAGATGTGATAAGATATTACGCAACACAATTAAATTATTTCCTTAAATTTGTAATTCTTTCCTTTCATTAAAGTCATGCATAACAAGGAAAATTTTACAGCAATATACAAATAAACTGAACATCACTTACCGGATAGTACCATTGGATCAAAACCTTCTCCCTTCTTGACATGATCGGATTCTCCAGTCAATGAGGATTCATCAATTTTCAAATCATTGCTTTGAATGAGAATACCATCAGCTGGGAGCAAATCACCATATTTTACCTAAAAGGATAATATTTATAGTATCAAGGGAACTTCAGTATTAATCTTTCCAGATCACATTCTGCATTTCATTATAATACTCCATTAGCAAAATTGGCGCATTAAAAATACTGATAACCTTTAGGACATAAGTACATGGAGAACTAAAAAGAACAGCTTTGATTACACTTGTCAACAGGTTTTTGGTTCCCATAAATTAAGAACATTGTGTAAAAGCATTTTATATTCTGAATCCAGAAGTGATATCAGTTTTGGGCTATCATGCAAGGTTTGGCAGAAATATTTTGAATTCATTGTTGAATATAAGATCCTTTTTTAAGCATAACTGTTTTTTCTGTGTTCATAAATTGTGTAACTTGTGTTTCATCCTATAAATAAGTTATCGTTTAGCACATTTTAACAAAGAAAAACAACTCTTGTAATTGTCATTGTCAGATAAGCTTTACTTCTTGGAAAATGAATTGCATATACATGCTTTACAATCGGTGTCTTAGTTGTGTTCATAGTGCATATGTCACCAGAGTTTTACTCTGAGAAGTGTGTATTTCTTAAATAGATCTATAAAAATGTCACAAATGTATGAATGTGCCAGGCAATTTGTTACACAAGTGGAAATTTCAGTGCACAGGAGGAAACTCGTTACCTTTCTGATAAAAACTGCTACCACATGTATTTTGAGTGCAGTGTTTGGGACCAGTGAAGAAATGGCCACTTCATATTTGCGGTGTATCATGTGCAAATATATTACATTAATGGCTTAAAGGTTTTTGCTCATGTACACTGTTTGCTGTACCAATGTTTTGAAGGGGGGCAACAGTATCACTTAAATTACTACTATTTTTGACACAAAAATAGTAGGTTTCACTTGCAAAGAGCAAGAAAGCAATCATGTATCCCAATTTACCTTCAGTAGTACAACCAGTTGCTCATGGTCCAGATCTTCCTAATCCTGTTCACCCACGATCGTAGGTAGGAGAAGATGAAGGAATACATTTGGAAGACAACGATGATTTCCATGTTTCTAATGTCAACAAACCCGTATGGTATCTCAAGAGGAAGTAAATGACTTGGTTAGAAACTTATCACACTCTGCAAGAATGTAAATGGCTTAATGCAAATCCTTGGAATTATGCACCATGCAAATAAATGACACTACTTCATAAATGCATCAAAAGTTGGTTTGAAAACCATTTTACTATATAATTGTAACAAAGTCAGTTAATTTAAATTGCTCATTTTGTGCATTTGGAAGAGAGTGGGATGCCTGGGAATGCTTTAAAGATGTCACGAAGCAATTATTATGGATTGGAAATCTAAAGACTTCAACATTATGAGGAAAACACGTTATTGGCATACAGTGAGAAGAGATAACATGTTTATAGACCTTCATCTCTTGCCCTCCCACTTGAATTTTTTCAGACACTTTGGAAGCTGTCAGGAACGAACATGGAGAAAGATTCCATTAGGACATTTTGGCTACTGAAAAAGGTTCCAGGAAAGATGGAACCGAGCTTTATTACCAGGTTAGTGTTGGTTAGCAGTGAGGGTAAACTATCATTATTATACAAACAAAAGAGAACTAATAAGTCCTTGCAGAAAGGTAATAATTATGTAATATGTACTTTAATATTAACACGATTCACCAAATTATGTAAATCATTAATACTGTCAATTTCCTAAAAACTATACATGACAGAACACAACTGAAGACGTACAAGGATTTAGCATTTCCTCGACTAAAAATTGCCTACTTTCCTCTAGAAACCAGAGAAAAAGTTTAAAATTGTTGTCCAGTGTTATTTCTCGTAATCTTCCCATCTTCAAGTTTGTAGTAAATGAATGAATGATTCAGTATTGAATACAAGATCATTCAACTGATTTTGAAAGATACTATCAGAAATAAACAAAATGACAATTGAATGGAGGCAAAAAAAAGGATAAATGTATGTAATTGCGTTGTGAATTGTAGTAAATGCATCATTAAAATGTTTTTCATATCCAAATTTTTGGACATTTTACCATAATCAGTTTGCTATGTTGCTGGAATTGTCTTTTTAAAAGGAGTAAATTTATGCTACAACCAAAAGGTTTATCAGTTTGACATATTTAATTTAATTAAGTATTACATCTTTGTTTGATCCGTTTGGAAGAAATAGTGTGCAGTCATGGACGCTTATCAATATGCTGTCTGTAACAGTGAAGTTGTTCACTTCTGGTCACAACCCATAGCCAAATAAGATGTAGTTTGCTAGACCTATGGGACACAGTGGGCAGGGGGTGGGGGAGGATACAAGGACTAATGTTAACTAATAGGCATAATGCCTGAATGCTACACATCCTGCCCTTGACTGACAATTCCAGTTACAAGATGATTTTAATACTGTTTCTGTGAATTCTTTCTGGATGCCCACCAAAGGTGTGTGTTCATTTTAGTTTATCAAGATATCGGATGACAATCATATTTTAGCAGTCATGAAAATTGTCATATATTTCAAATATTATTGATCCACGTGTCATTTTCAAAGAGACATAGATCAAGAATATTTGAAATATGGTAACAAAAAGATAGAGGGTCTGGTCTGCACTTTTGACTTTCAATTACTGGAATTTTTGAGAGTATTAAGGCAAAGCGCAAAATTCCCAAAAGAAGTAAAACTGCACAAAATTAGTGCAGAAATGCCGTTCGGGCACTAGAGCACCCTTGATGGGATGCCACTTCACTCCAAATTCAGTCTAAGAGTGGCCACATTGTTGAACATGCTGTTTGTACTTTCAGAGGTAAGCACGATTATCATAGGTAATGCCTCAAGTGCTTAGGAAATTTATTATTTATTATTGTATATTTATTACAGACTTAAGTACAAATTTATTACATTATAAAAATAATAATGACTTGCACATGGAATTAATCCTGTGTGTGCTCCAGTGAAATTAACAAAATGATATATACTAAAAATTGTTCTTTCTTAAGAATTGAAACAAGTTTTCACAGACAAATTGTTTGGATGAACATTTATGAAAAGCATGAGGACATTATGTAAAGAGTTGACTAAGGAATCAACAATATCTTGATATTTCCATCAGTCTGTTCTCCCCAATCCAGCCTCTGGTACCTTAGAGGAGTACATCCCATCCTAACCCTCTCCTTCATTACTAGCACACATCGGTACAGAGGCCTCACGAACCCTGCAAATACGTGGGACCCGCTAAGAAAAATAGTGTAAAAATATTCATTCTCTACATTGTTTTCGTATTTCATTTTGCGTATATTTTATGTAGACACATGTTAATTTAATTTCCTGTTTTTTTCCTTCTTCTTTTCTCTTTCCCCCTCATTTTCTACCAATATTATATTGAAGTGTTTTGAATTAAGTATATTCATTGAAAAATAACGTTGAAACACTAGTATACGCATTTTTTATTCAGGACATGCACAGTTTATAATCTAGTTGTGATACCAGCTATGTGATATTTTAATGTTGCTGAAAGTCTAATTATTTCAGTAACTGTTTAAAAGAATGGATTATCAGAAGCAATATTAGAGCTTCAATGACATTCTATAATTTACTGATAGTCTAAATTACAAAAGAATCTGAATAAAGTAGTAGGATAAGAGGGGGGAAGGGAACTACAACAACACATTCTTTCATGTATTTGTAATGGTTATATAATATTACCTGAATCACTGTACTTTGAACCGCATAGGATCCACAAGCAACTGACTTATCCATTACAACTACATCAACCAGTTTATATACCAACAACATTCCCAATGCATCTAAAAGAAAGTAGGTTTTAAAGAAACCCATACCTTATGCCATATTAATAAGCGAGTAAAAAACAAAAGTGTTTTTGAGATATCTGTGTTTCTCTGCTTGTTAGAAATTCCCAGAAACTTGTAAACCACTCCCAACGTAGGGGTGAAATTGCTGGGAATTTTCTGCTCGACACCCTACAGGCTCTTAGCATTGCCAGTGAAATTTGACTCTTATTAGTCACCAGGTTGCACCACAACAAGTCTCAGTATACCATTTATGCATTATTTGAAAATGGGATGATTAGGATGGGAGAATTTGATCGCTTGGCAGACAGCCAGGGTTCTTTCATATGTGATCCCATCGAATCTGCACTTTGGGGCTTAAGAAAGCAGTAAGCTAACCACTTAAGTCACCGGAGTGTGCTTTTATTTTTTTAATTTTTATCCTGTGTAGGTATGGTTTAGGTGCTAGTTCACCGGCAGAGGAGCAAATTAAAAAAACAATTGTTGGCATTATGGTTTCATAAAACATGGTTTCTGATTCCATTACATATCTGAGAGAAAATTACAGTAAATAAAAGGCACAAGAAACATCCACCTTCCCCGTATCTAGGATCCACAAAAACATGCTTTTGTCAGAAACTCCTAACTTTTTCCAGAAAAATCACCCACTTTCTTTCTACAAAGTATATTCGAGAAAGCGGTGCAACAGAAGCACAGACTATCTCGTACTAGTTAACTTCCTTATCTCTTTAGTCTGGGCTATCTTTTCTGTTTTGCCCTCACCTTCTTTCCAGCTATTATCTGCACATGTTTTGTTGAGCTTTCATTTTGCTAGATGCGAGAGGCATTGGAGGGTTGTTCATTATGACGACAGGACTACTATATCAAATCTGTAACTTGTTTCTAAATGCAAAATAGTTTTTATTACACAAGAGTAAACATTTCTGGGTATTCAATTTTGCCAACAATGCTCTTTGCCATCATTTATGGTACTGCAACTAATGTTAGTGAAGGTGTGGGAGTGGGTATTCCGGGCTCAAGAAAACTTGCACGTGTAATACTTTGGTATCAAAGACCCAGAAAATGTGAACTCTAACTACATAATGTGTAAGAGGAAGTTACCATGTACAAGAACAAGATTTTTCCACTCTTTCGGTATCTGGGACCCAAAAAAATGATTCTTTGGCGAAAAATCTCCTTATTTTGCTACAACATTACAATACTTCCTCTATACTACATAAGTAGATGAGAGAATGTTTGTAAAAGAATTCTAGCGGCCGGTTGTTCTGATCGGTAGTTTCCCGTTTCTCTGATTAATACCACGCGGATGCCGTAATACAACAGAAAACGAGCCACGAACTGTGCGCGACTTTTCTTCTCTCTTCCTTGTCCTATCATCCCTTACTTACACTCACACGCACGACACGGCCAAAATGGGTGATTCGCTGGGGGAAGGAGACGCCTAGATAGGGAAAACCCTGTGGATTGACGTGAAAACCCTGCGAGTTGACGTGTACGTCGGCGCCGCATCTCACTATCCAGCTGGGGGAAATACTGCAGAGCCAATGGAAGCAACTATTCTAAGTTTCGTTGTACAGTATTTAAGCATACCAAAACAAAACAAAAAATAATTTAAAAAAAATTAATACACCTTCACAAATTCTAAATGTTACGTCGGGAATATGGTACGAGTTCTCAATAGGCGAGTTGGCAGAAAGAAATCCTGTTTCCTAAATCCCCTAATGGGCCGGTATTTAGAATACGACACGTCCTTTTCTTTTAACACAATACCGTGAAAAGTTCAAGCGGTGATCATCAGTATCCTTTAAGATGTTTTCATTACAGAATCAAACATTTCTGGTAATACTGATGTCGGGAGACTCATAAACAATGTATAACACGGTTGGAACGACGGGTAGTCCTATTCGTATAACACTCGAGCTTCACGCGGGTCTCCGTCTCGAACCCACAACACATCGACCTACTGCACTCCATTTGTATGACTAACATCATTTGCTTTAACACACAATACAAAGAAAGCGACCGGGGTTTTGAAACAATGTTCTTAAATTTTTCCCATATCAATTCCTATTCATATTGAAATGCATGTAGAAATGAACTTTTGCCTTCAGGGCTGTCAGGTTTGCCATATCCCATTACATTTTTATTTAAAGCAAACATCTAAAACATATTCCTTCAATTCAGTCACATACCTGGCAAATATCTCCCACAACGATGTCACCAACAGATATTTGTTTCACTTCTCCTTGTCGTATAACGGAGAATTTGTGTTCCCCTTCAATTCTGTTTTGTAAACCCCGAAATTGTCGTTCTTTTGTATAATCATTGAAAGCTGTTACAAGGACTACTACAATAACTGAAATAAGTATAGCCAATCCTTCGATCCATCCGTGTTTTCCTTCATCTTCAGCTTCAGCTGCAAAAGGTTAAACAAAACAATATTAGTACAATTTCTTGCATAATCAAGTAAAGAGTAAAAAGTCAGAGAAACGATAAAACTAATATCGACCAAAATTCAGTAACGAGTCGTGCCCACCGTTTTTGCCAGTCGCCCGCGAAATACTTTCAGGCAATAGGTCATTTTAAATCCGCGTTAAGATGCATGAAGCAATGCAGTTAGAGCTTAAATTTTAGGAAGAATATAATATCCCAACTGAAGGCTTTCTAAGGCGTATGGGCGCGCGGGGAGACTGAAATGAATCTGCATTCGTTTTTGGTTTTGTTTTAAACACACACGCCAACGAATTAGCCCCGCATTGCAGCATGTCGCCTCAAGGCAGGGTGGCCTAGTGCTACTAAAAACGCTTCTGGAGGAAGAGTGCATTTACATTCAAAGAATCTTACTAAATCACTAAATATACGTATGTCCTCCGCCACCACATGCGAAGGTAATAAAATCGTGAAATTAATATTTATTGGCTACATTTTACTGAAAATTACCTTAAATCTAGGAAAGATATAGTCAACTTTTCCGTCCGTCACCTCAGAATATTTGCCGAGCTTTCAAAAAAAAAAAAAACCAACAATGTTGGCATTTTCAATGGGACATACTAGGACTAATAGTTAAATACACCGCGGAAAACGCCATTTAACTTAATTGGGAGTTGAAGTTTCATATCAACTTAAATAATATGCAGTGTTTGAAAATTGGGCAAAGGAATAGGAAGAGTAAAGATCTCAACATGCATTCAATTTATAGCCATTTCCTTAATAACGAAGTGCTTTTCTTCTTTTGTCACCTCGTTTATATCCCATTCACAGAACTATTAAATAAAATTATTTACGTAGTATACATCTATTGCACTCAACCACACTTAAATGTGTGAAGAAAAATAATTTTCTACTGCTCCACTTTTTAGAAAGCCTGACAACATTCAAGATGAAGCAGTCAAGTTACACTTCCAACATGCTTGGCCATGCGATAAGAACTACACAGGATAAGGGCGCTTTCGCACAGATTGAATGAACCCAAGATGTCTAACCCATATACTTCGTATTATTCGTCAATAATCTCGCATTTTCATTACACTAATGAAATAAAACACGTGCGTACACGCACGAAGAGACACACACACACACACACACACACACACGCGCGCGCGCGCGCGCGCGCGTTCACTTTTTTATATTAAACAAAATATAAGTTGTGTGCATGGAATACTAATATTATATGCTAAAATTGTTAATTTATCATTTGCATAGCTTGATAGGATCCTCTCCAAATGATACTTCTGTTTATCAATTACCCTTATAATTAACATAGAAAAGTGGTGATACGCAGTCATTTATGTAATTTACCTATCTTGGTAACATTTTATACACTGAAAGGAAAAAAGGTGGTGAGACTAACTATTTTTACAAATATTATGGGTGGTTGTTTGTGGCTGGGAACAAGCATTCATGCACCGCAGGGCATAAGGCTAAGCACATTCCGAGATCCCCAAATAATTGCATGTTTTAGCCATCACAGAGATTCAACATTGATTAAGTATGTTTTCGTTATATATTCAAAATAAAGTATTACACACATTATGGGCATATATTAAATTGAATTGAATAATTCTACAACAAACCTTGAACATAGGATTTTATACAGGTACCATTCTGCTTTTGGAAAACAAAGGGCATATAGCTTAAAAGATTTTAAGAACCATATTCACTTTATATGGTGTCCAAAAATTAGGTATTTTTTTCCTCTGCAAAACTACTAATTTTTGTTACTCTTTGCCCACTATTATTTTGACTTATAATTCATTCCAGTTCGTAGAATGAATTTAGAGGGTACAAATTAGCACCAATGAATAAATAATGTATACATGGATTGCTGTCTGTATAATATAAGACAACTAAAAGCAAAATTGGTGCTTCAGCATTTCAAAAATTAACACTAGAACTAGAACTTTGTGTCTACTGGATCACTTTCTCTCAATTCACTTTATAGCATAATATGGGTGCACAGTGGGGGCCTGAGTAACATTACAAGCCAACACAAAACAGTAGGATGAGTGGCTTACATTCAGGCAAAATAGGGACACCACTAGAGAATCAAAACTACAGAACAGTGAAAACATCTATGTATTTACCGTCATCTATATCTTCTGTAGATGGCAATCCAAGAAAAAAAAGAACAGTTAATATTTGTTGAGGAACATACTATTCTGTTCTCTCAATCTGATATCAACAATATTTAAAATCAAAATGTATAGCCAAAAAATGTTTTGTTCTCTACAAATTTTGGGTAAGAAACATTAGATTAAATAATCATATCTTTCAGACAACTGCTAGTTAATGTGAGGCAGGGATTAAAGTAAATATTTCTCTATGAATGGAAAATTAAACGATATGAATCAGTAAATAAACTTCAAAATTAATATATAATTGAGAGAAAAATCATTTCAGAAACTGCAGGTTCTTAAAATTTATTACATTATATCCTACAAATATTAGTTAATACAATTTGGAACTTACGTGTTGACTCATCACTTGCTAAGTAAAACGATAAGCCCAACGAAACGATAGCAGCAATTTCTAAAATTATTAACGTAACATCCTGTAATGCCTCCCATACTAGCTGTAGGAACGTCTTTGGTGGTTTTGGAGGTATTGTATTGGAACCAAAGGTCTCTCTTCTGTGTTCCATATCCACTGCTGATCCACTGAGACCTGTAGGCAATAAATTAATTTGAAAACACTGACGAATAACAAAACGAATTAATGGATGAATGAATCCAAGCACGGTCGGATCGATGGATGCACGAGACCATGGATGGATAAAAGAACCAACTCCACAATCTCTTGCGTGAAAGACACGCTGTCATCAAGAACCGAGCCACAAAATAATAATATCAGCAGAAATTGATTTGATTTCGTCAAAAACTTAAAACAAGAAGTAAAAACGGAATGTGACGTACGTGGAGGGAAGTATAATAGTGGAGTATAGGAAGTTAACTTCTATTACAATACTACATGTTAGAACACCAGTAAGCATACCTTCACTAGGCGATGTGTAAAGCTTTTTGCATATCTCTTGTACACCCCCATATTCATTTACTTTGGCTACCCCTTCACTACCCCGGGTCTCCATGAGCTCCCGGAGTTGTTTCAGGGTAATACCATACTGCGCTGGCCGGCCGTCGATCGTCGCCATACCCCCAGCTTGGACTTCAACTGCAAGCAGAAAAAGAACACATTGGTAATGAAGTTCAATTACATCACATGAAAACATACATTCAATTCATTTCGCTATATGCAATTTTTACAAATATCTACACTGCGGAATGCATCAGAGTTAGCCACATCTCATAAGGTTTTCGTATGTATACTAAATTCAGACGCTGTGTGTTGCACTAGGTAGAATAATACATATAACATATTCCTTAATGTCAGGTACAAGTGTCAACAGTTTTTTAAATAAATTGAAATACCTGTTCACTTAAAACTACGAGAATCTCTCGGCCACCTTGCAGGAAAATTTGCAGGCTATCCAGATTCGCGAATTCCCAATTTATCACCAACTCAGGCTAACGCTCGAAAGTCAAAACACTCCCGTTTCCGCACAAGGAAATAGAATAAGTGCCAATTCCCAGACGAAACAATATTTGAAGCTAGTTCTCACAGTTCTCGCATATTGCGCTGCGAACCACTTGAATAATTTGGGGGCAAGATGTCGACCAATGAGAATAGCTGATGTGTCGTTTCGTGGTGGTGAATTCTTAAGTTATTTGAGTGGCAAAATAATCAAAGTAGTCAGAAAAATTGATCAAAATTGGTGCATGTGATACTTTTAGTGATTCATGTAAATATCTGTACCTTTGCTTTCAGTTCCGAAGCATGCAGATATTCAAAATACGTGGTACTATAAGTTAAGCCACAGAAAAAGACAAAATTAAACAGCGAAGTTTACAATTGCGAAACACTTCAGCAAAGAAAATTGTTTCGACAAATATGGTAAAAACACATTAAGAATTTTCTTACACTGTACGATAATTATAAATTAAGTAATTTTCAAATATTATCCAAACAATATTGTGAAATGTGAAAAACAGAAGTATTTGTCACATATATACACGAATCATTCTTCGTGCTTGATAATTGAGCCTCGACAGAGCAGCGTTGCCGCGCTTTACTGTCATTGCCACGTGGGTGTTGCAAAATCTTTCGCGGATAATCTAAAGCGAATACCTGATTTCAGTCTTACACTTTTGATAATTTTAAGTTCGATGCCTATACTATCTGGATCTTTTAATGAAGTGAAATTTTGACGTTGGACGTCATGAATGCACGGCAGAAGTGTTCAGTAGATTCCACGGTTGCCAGATAAAAAAGAGAATATCGTACTGCGCCATTTGTTATCGTGCTGTTGTCATACAAATCGTACTTTATTATTTTTAATGCATATTATTTTAAATTATTTTATAGATATTTTAATTGAGAATACAGGAGGTAATAGAGATTTTATAGCACTAGACAACTTTTATTAAGGTATGTACATTTAAATTGAATAGAACCGAAATCTCTTAGTTATTAGATTATACATTTACTTACATATTATACAAGTAAGAATCCAAAGAGAAATCTCATCTTCTATTGACTATCTCTATCATATTCAGAGTCGAGTAAAGTACACGGGACAATCTGTTTTATTGAATATTCCACTAATAAATTAACCAGAGCTTTACTAGAAAATATATGGAGAATATCTTGAGCCGTTTGGCATACAACTCGAAATGATAGCGGAGCCCACTATTCCGACGGACTTAGCGGGCGACTATCGCATGCTAATCCATTACTCGGGCATGCTCTATTGAAATGGTAAAAATGAATTATACATCATGAGAAACATTTTTATAGAAAAAAATGGTCATATTATCGTACGTTTATCGTTAATTAAAAAATAGTACTTACTGCACGTGATAAGTTGTATAATTAAAGAATATAAAAAATATTTTTTGAAAATACGGAATATTCTTAATAAATTCGAATAATTTCTACGAAAAAGTAAATACGCATTTCTTAATATTAAATTACTAGGAACTTTGCATAATTTAGATGTTAAAACTAAATAGTATATGCGTGTGACGCCATCATAAATACCCAAGTCTAGTCCAGTGCGCCTCACAGAGAAGCGAAGAACTCTCCTCAAATTGTTTTCACAAAATCCCAGAACAGTGGAACTACGACTTTACACCAGTTCCTCACATTTTTAACTTAAGAAATTTTCAAAAATTCAACGAAAAGTTGTAATATAAAAATTGCACATGGCCTTATATAAAAATGTCTTTGAAGAACAGATTTTTTTTTTCTTGGCGAAATCTATTTTCAATATTGTAGTTGTAGACTACGAAAAACAAATCTACTTTTGCAATAAGAGTTGAAGGAAAATGGATCCTGCGCCATTATTTTGCGTCCATTGCTCTATCCGAAGAAACAGGTTACTCGTAATAAGAAATGTGGAGTCATTTTTGAGAAAATTTTGAGAATTTTGAGGTATCATGTAAACTACCCCGACATCAAAATATCCGTTTCAAACTCGCGGGGCCTCAAGTTCGTCCGATACTGGAATATCAATTTTGGAGGCAATCTGAGCGGTTTAAACGCTGCGTTGGCCAAGGACGTTTTACCGTCAAACGTTTTACCGTCAAGCAATTTACTTACGTACGTAGTATGGGGAAAAAAAATTGAGCCGTTTTTGAGATTTTTTGAAAATTGCTTACACTAGAAACAAATGTTAAACGAAAACTTCTAATTTTCGAAAAGTTTAACATGACTTTTTGAAAGAAGTCAAAGTTGAACACTACTAAGAAAGAAAAGTACCGTCTTAAAACCGATTTCATTCATGGGAGGGAAAAAAAACAAACTTCGATCAATATTATTGTTTGGCAGTGTTAAAGTTTTGCAATTTTTTAAAATATATGGTCAACCGAAAATGCGATCTGCACCAATTTTAAGAGGAATTTTAAAATATCGTAGGTTTTACGCAAAATTTTACGAAAACTTCTCATTTTAGAAAAATTGTACATTACCTTATTTAAAAATTGGCAATCGAAAAGATTTCATTAACAAAAACAAACTATCTTCAATACTGTCGTTGTAAGAAAGTGCAGAAAAGAAGTAGAAATTTTACAACTGTCGAAAACTTAAAGTCTCATTTTAAATTTTTTCTTTGCTTTACCCGAGAAAAAAAAAAAAAATCAAACATTTGAAGACTTTTTGAGTGAAAAAAAAAATGTTAAGACTTCGTGTAAAGTATCCCCACAAATCAAAATATCAGTTACGAATCTTCGGCTAGGTCGATGGGAGAACGTTAATTTTTGAGAAAAGCATTTAAACGGTTTAGGCGCTAACCACCTCCTCACCAATTTGTATTTGAGAGGAAACAGACGTTTTGGCCACGTACAATATCTATGCGCCAAAGCTACTGCAATGTATCTATCCCTACTCAAGCCAATTCCTCCGACTCACGGCGCTGAAATGGCCAAAATCAGATTCAGATACATCTCACGTAACTCTCCACATATTTTTTTTTTGTAGGTAGAAGGACAATTTTTGGATTTCTATTAGAGACTGGTGTGAGGAAGCAGCTGCTAGCAGAGCATTAATGCATCGACTGTTTTCATCGCATCTTATAACTTGTACTAATGAACAATTGAATCTTGCCTTTCGTGCGTTTCTAGTGATAACCGTGAATTTTAAGCACTGCAACGCCCTGCTTGTTCTATGTTACATGCACCTGGTCAGCGTGATATCGAGCGTCTCTTGCGGTGCACTGCAATTACATGCGCCCATTCCACCTGCCAGAGTGATGAGCGGATAGCTCTGCGTGTCTCCGCACTTACTACGGGACTTTTCAGCGCAATCCAGTGCTTCGTAGTATTGGACATGATTTCAAACTAAAATATTGGTGTACATGCGCCAAGGTGCTTTGTCTTTCCTTTCTGGCGGCACACTAGTGTTCACTGTAAAAGCGTATCTCTTCCTTACAGGCGACATCATTATGTACCAAATTTATTTTATTAAATGTGCGAGATGAAAGTGTGTATCTCACCGGGTATCTCATCCTAATACCGTGCTTGTTAGGACCGAGCTGAGCTCCGTAGGGCTCCAGACTGTGCGTTATTATTAAATGCTTCAGGCAGTCCACAATTAACTCCGTACGATGTACGGTCTGGATACAATGACCCATACAACGTGGATTTTAAATACACAACGTATTAGAGGAAGTAATTTACAACATACAGGAACGAGATTTATCCAGGGCTCTACAATTAGTTTGTTGAATAATTGCCTATTTCCACCGCACTCTTTACTACGCCAATTAGGCGAGAAAGTACAAGTAACTAGCCTCAAATTCAATCACAAAATCCAAGAAAGAAGTAGCAAGTTGACAATTCACTCTCTCTCCCTCTCCCTCCCTCCCTCACACACACACACACACACACACACACACACACACACACAGTGACTTCCCTCAAATATGGAGTCAACTTGAAAAGAAGGGATGGGAAGGGGGGGGGCAGAAAAGTCTCTGAAACGCCTTCACCTTGCGCCTCACGCGAGCTTCCCCGTCCCGCCTCCATTTCTCGTCTCTCCCCAACGGAGGCCCGCAAACCTAGTCCCCGTCTCCAGCCCGAGGCGTGCCTTATCGGCCATCGGGGCGCGGCTACTCATCAGGCGCAGGCAGACACCGCCCAGACACGCGAGCCGAGAGGCGCTCTCCGCTCCGCACCGGCCTCCTCGCCCCCTCCCCCGCAACCGGCTCTGCTCTGGCCGCCCACCAACCCCCGACGCGTTTCGTGATGTCCTCCATAAACCACCTCCGCCCCTGCATGCGCATCTCTCTCCTTTTCCCTTCCCCCTCCCCCATTGTTATTCACACTTCATGCCGTACCATTCCATCTCGCATGGTATCGGTCATCTCCGTCGCCTTTCCTCCGTCGCTTTTCTTTCTTCACCTCTCTCCACTGTTTCGTGTTCTTCCCCTTCCCGTATCCCTTTCATTCGTTCCCGCACCCGTTCCGTATCTGACTAACCAGGCTCCGGCTCCATGTCCATCTCTTCGCTTCCACATTGTGTTCCGTTCTCTAGTATCGCTTCCGTTTTCCTCCTTTTTTTCTCCGCCGCGTGTCGCACACCTTTCTTTCACGGCAGCGAGCCCACCAGCAGCACTT